AGGTCCGGTCCCTCTGTAGGGCTTTCCTACCCTCCAGCAGATCAACACTTCCACCCAACTTGGTGTCATCTGCAAATGAGGGTGCACAGAGAGGCCTGAGGAGATTATTGCTGAAAGCAGAAGAACCTCTTATGGGACTGGGTTTTGTCTCCTGATCTAACCAAATCTGACCTCCTGCTGGTCTCCCCTTTCTCTGGTACTGAGACACATCAGTTTTCTCTTGGGTGGTGAAGGGAGGCTGGGAGGGAAGTGCTAAGGGATAAGAAGGATTGCTGGGGCTGGACAGTGTGGGGTGGATGCTCCACTAAGCACTTTCCAGTTTAAACGTCTTGTCACCTGAATCATCAGTAGTGTTTATGACTAAAGAAATAAACATCAGTACAATAACGATTTCAAACTCTGTTTAGCAATCCTGAGCAGAAAGTCTCACTATTTGTCAGAGTGAGAAAAAAATAATAATTGGGAAATCGAGAAGACCTTCTCCATCACCTTTCCCCACCCCAGTCAGGCTGACAGGCCTGTAGTTCCCCGGATCCTCCTTCCAACCCTTCTTGTAGAGGGGCGTCACATTTGCTAGTTTCCAGTCATCTGGGACCTCCCCGGTTGACCAGGACTGCTGGTAAATGATCCTGATTTGGCATCTAAACAGATCAATGTAAACTACAGTCATTTTCTCCTCATTTAATTTATTACTGTGATTTGCATGATATATATTCCTGTTAAAAACAAGTTCAGCCATAGCCTCAAAGCTGCATTAGTTCTAGCCTATGGGTGTAGGGATAGTGTAATATAATATAAAGTATAGGAGCCTCTTCTCTTGTATGCCTCTCCTATTACACCCAATTTTTGTTCCTTCTGCAAATGTGCTACCTTTGTAAGTTATGCTACTAATGGGCTGCATAGTGTCACTTCATTCTGTTTAGGCTGCTTGCTCTTCACTTTTTGTAATTCCTACTGACACTCTGCCATGGTTCAGTGTGGCAAGCAGAGGTCCAGGAGAGTCCAACAAAGAAGGTAAATTCAAAATGCTGGTGGAACTGCAACCTTAGAGCTCTGTTGGAAAAAGTTATTCATCTCTCCAGAGAGCTGAGTTTCTGATTCTTAAAAGAAACATGGTCTATGGGAATGCTAATATCGAAGTCTTGAAGACAGCTAGAAACTCTTAACTGTCTTACTGCATTGTGAATAACTGAGCATAATTGGCTGGCATCATAACAGTTTGGTCAGTGCAGCTAAGGATAGGGTAACACTGGATATACTTGAACACATCTATTTAACTTCTGTTTAAGTTCATAAATCCTTGTACAAATGCATTGTCTTATTTTCTCAGGGTGCGTTTGGTAGAGAGAGGTTCTCCACACAGTCTGCCGCTTATGGAGTCTGGGAAGGTGAGAGATTGAGAGCAATCCTTCCTCCTCATGACCCTTACCTGGGTGGTGAGCTGCATCAGCTGGATCTTAGTACAGAATCTGTGCAACGAGCTTCACTAATCAGAGTATATCTAGGAGAGGCACTAGAGAGAGCATAAAATGAACAGCTAGTTAAAATGAAGCCAGGTGCATGAAGTGAAGCAGTAGGATATGTTGCTACAGCTGAAAAAAATCAGAGGCCTTCATGTGGAAGGCATTTTTCAGATGTGAAACAAACTTTAACTCTGAAGTGGCAAAATAGCTGCTTAGAGTTTAAATGAGGAAACAATTTAGTAGGAAGAGATGGTTGATATCTGTGGTGCAGAGGGGAGTAGAATGAGAAGAATTGCACAGACTGTTGACTTCTGTGTCTCTGCATTATTAACTTTTCTTTTGACAAATTCAAGTTCTCTTAACTTCTGTTGTAAACATTTGCTTCTTATTCAAGATTCTTCCAGGGGTAAAGGTCATCATAGCACACACAGAAACCAAGGGACCTCTGGGAGACTCGCATTTAGGAGAGGTAAAGCTTTGATGCTGTTGTACTCTGTGTATCAGCAGTGATTTAATATATAGATAAATCATGTTAGATCAACACCTGTCTCTTAGTGGGATGGCCGCATAATGTGGCAAGTGAATGAACACTACAGAGAGCTGGAAGACATACTTGTATGTATGTCTGCATGGTTTCCTCCCTCCTCTGCCAAACTACTGCATGCCAGTACCAGGTGATATCATTTGACTAGTATGTCTGATTGGCAGCTAGAAGAGACAGTGAATATCTTATGTACTCCCATCAGTGGACAGTAGTAATGAGGTAATTTACTGTTTGGTTTAGTCTTTGCTTTATATACATCTGGATTTGTGTATACCAGGATTCCCAACTAATAGAAGATTGCAGGTTAACAGGTGTTCTTTTCCAGTAAGCCAAATGCCTAGTTCATTTTTCCTCTTTACCATCCCCTATTACATGTATATAAAGCTCCTTTTTCCTGATCATTTTCTGTGAGGCAGAAGTTAATGAATTATTTTAATAAAACAGATATTTTAAATCAATAAATGATGCTGCCTGGGTCTGGCAAAATAACCTATGTTTATATGGGAATGATTCCCTTTTGTTATCTTTTTTTTTTTTTTTTTTATATCCCCTAGATATGGGTGAGTAGTCCACACAATTCTACTGGTTACTACACAGTGTATGGAGAAGAAGCACTGCATGCTGATCACTTTACTGCTCGCTTGAGTTTTGGAGACACTCAGACCATATGGGCTCGGACTGGGTACCTTGGCTTTCTGCGCAGAACAGAACTTACTGATGCTAGTGGAGGTGAGAGAAAACAAATGTGCTTACAGAAGCATGTGTTTGAAACTTGGGGTAGTTGAGCTAGCGAAGAGTAAGCTGTCCTGCAAGTTCATCCTGACTCCCATCAGAGAAAAGTGCTGAATGTAACAGGAATTGTTACTCTGTACATATTCATTGATTATAATGTTACTGGGTAATCGTGCAAAATGAGAAATTCATAATGCCTTTTTGACAGATTGAGAAATCATGTTCATCTCCCTTTATTTCCACTTACACAAAATAATATAAGCACATTTCTTAGAAGCACTAGGGCCTTTCTACTTACTTTTCCTCTGAACCTCTTTCCTTACAGACAGGATGCAGTATTTCAGTACTGATCTAGAGAATACAAGCAATGTTGTCATTCAAATTTTCCAGTATAGAAAATAAATTGTTAATCTATTTTTTCCATCTAAGCCAAGATCTCTAAACTTGAGAAATCTAAGCAGATGGAAGAAAAACTGCTGCTTTTTCTGTTAAGACAGAATATGGAGTAGGTATAACTCTTGCTTATCACACGTTTAAAAAAAAAAAAAAGTAATCTCTAAACATCCTAAGAAAAGGACTTTGAATGCTTATGAGTTATTAGCAAATGTATATTGCTAGTTGTCTGTGATTGGACTTAAATGAATGGTGGTATCTACATGGATAGTGTCAGTGTCCCCTCATTGCTGTCACTGGATAATGAACTGTAGGGGCTTCACAGACACCTTTTACATTTCCTGTAACCACTCATGGTACAAGATAGAAAAGCAGTTTTCCCGCTTCTGGAACATCAGTGTCCGTTTGGGGGACACCATGCATGTCCATCCTACTTTTAGTCCTCCATTATATGAAGGAAGAAGAGTGAGCAAGGAAGGCAATTTGTTGAGGGTGCAGACTTTTGCTGAGGAGCTACCCCATCTGTTGCAGTGGATACAGTCTAGGGTTCAGGTCCATGATGTAACTCAGTTGGATCTAGTCACTAAGAGAGGGTCATCCTCCAGTCTACTGTGCGGGTGTCCTATTCAGTCTCCCTGGGGCCCTTGAAAACAAGAAAGGTGGATGCTATTGCTCTGGCTGGAGAAATCCCTGCAGCCCACTCAATTCCATCTCCTCCAGAACAGCGTCATGCAGGCTTACCTCTTCCACAGTCAGAGTGCCATCAGAGAGCAAAAGGTGAATTCTAGTAAAGAAACAGTCTTCATCAGAGATGTGGGATATCCTTAGCCCACAGCTACCACCATTACACAGAAGGGACCCTTCTTGGCACCAGGTCTCTCCACCCGTTCAGCCTACTTAGTACACTGAGCAGTTCTGGGTTGGGCAGCCCCTCCAGGGTCTCTGTTCCTGAAGGAATGTGGTCTCAGACTGTTGGTGGGAGCTGATGTAATGTAAATCCAGCTCCCTGGAAAAGCTTTTACTGCATGTCACCTTCCACTTCAGAGCTGGTAGAGCATGATAAAAGCACACCCAACCAAAGTGCTCTAGGCTTTCCTTGCTTTCCTCTTCTGTGATTTTCTAGGGTAGTTACCTGACCTCCAGGGCACTTTGTGCTGCTGCTTAGTGCAAGGTTCTGCACTGGATACTTTGATGGAATTGTCCTCCTGTCACTGTTCAAAGTGCAATGGCTCCCTGTACTTGAGAAAGCTGGTAGTCGACAAAAATTGGAATCTGTGAGCAGGCATTCATGAACAAAGAGAAGTTGCAGGTGGCAAGGCACCAGATTACTATAGCAAGTTTTTGTGCCTTGTAGCTTTCTGAAAAATCATGTATCATAGAGATTTTTATCACTGTGGAACAATGTCAGTTGTCCTTTAGTTTGTCAGCATTTGAGAGGCTATGTATGATGAATTAACATAGCAAGTATGCATGAAATACAGTGCAGCTTCCCAACACGCTTTTCGTCTCAAGTTACACAATTGAGCAGAATTACAAAATGGGTGAAAAAAAAAAAAAGCAAAATTAAACTGAACAGAATTACAGGATGAATGTAGCGATGTGGAGAGCATGTCCTTCAAGAAGGGTCTAGGAGAGCTTTGCTTATTTAACCTAGCAAAGCTAAGGCTGAGGAGGGGATAGAGTTGTTCTTGCTGCTACTGTGGGGAACTTCAGAAGCTGAGAAGAATATTGCTGGCATAAGGACAAGTGGGTATAAGCTCGTTTTAAAAAGAAAAAAAGTTAAATTTGGAAATTGGAGAAGTGTTCCTATTGATCAGAGGATAGAAGTTCTCTGGTAAGAATAGCGGAACAAAAAGATGCTATAACAGTGGATTTTGATTGGGTTTATGAACTGAGATTACATTACATGAGAGAAGGGGCAGAATTGAATGACCCAGAAGTTCTTTTTAGTGTGGTTTCATTTGCTTGGAGTCAATAGGTGGAAGTGCTAAATGACATCTTAATTCTCTTCTCTCCAAGTGGTAGAGCTTGATGTGTATTATAGACTCCTCCTAGGAAGCACCAGAAACATCTTAGAATGTCAGGAATAAGCACATAAAAATGACCATGTTTGTTCTGTAGATCTGATGATGTTTTAAATGTCTGTGCTATACTGCAGAGAGGCATGATGCCCTATATGTGGTAGGCTCTTTGGATGAAACACTGGAGCTCAGAGGAATGAGGTACCATCCCATTGATATAGAGACCTCTGTAATAAGAGCACATAAGAGCATTGCAGAATGGTAAGAGCCTCAGTATTACTTTTCTGTATCCTTTTATTTCTTCTAAAGCAGCAGAAGTCAAGCTTTGTGGAACAGCACGCTAGACTGAGAGCTTGGTACAGAGGGAACTCACCAAAACTTTGCTTAGAAACGACTGCAGTGAGAGTAACTGAAATATGACACCTCTCTTTCCCCTGCCTCTGCAGCTCAAAAAAAAAAATAGTCCATGCCTTTATCAGAGTTTGATCTTCCTAGTCTGAAAGACAGGGAGGGCAGGGCAAGAATGGGGCAGCAGAGCACTTGCAAGTTGTGTTGTTGACTTTCCTGGCTGTGTCAGAATGTACACACTTGAATGTGGTAAACACATCTCAAGGATTTCTTGAATGGTATCTTCTAGTATATATTATTCTCATTTGGTCCTAATGGATGATGTATGCCATTTGGCTGTAGGTCCTCTTCAGTCTCAAAGTGGTAGTGTTTACTTGTAATCTTTGGGAAGTTTTGTCTTTCCTTTAATAATCTCTGAAGATTTACGCAAGTACATTGATTATCAAGTATGCATACACTGAATGTGAAATCTTAATGGTTCCCGTTTCAATATATAAGTGCAAAGGACTCTTAAATACATGACTGTGTACATATAAGAGAAAAAGACCTACTCATATTTTGTACATGGACAATTAAACAAGTGGCAAAGAATATCCCAAGAAATTACAGCTTTAATACCTCTTGATTTACAAATATTTTCACATTACTATTATATCACTTGTTCTCATTTATTATATTGTTCAAGTACTTACAAAATTTATTTCCAGTGAGTCTCTTTGATAACTAACTTCCTTTGACTATGTATTTTTTTCTGACCATTAATATTTGTATCATGCCGACAGCGCTGTGTTTACATGGACCAACTTGTTGGTGGTGGTTGTCGAATTAGAAGGCTCAGAACAAGAAGCGTTGGACCTGGTCGCACTGGTAACAAATGTGGTTCTGGAAGAGCATTATCTCATAGTAGGTGTTGTAGTCATTGTGGACCCTGGTGTCATTCCTATCAATTCCCGTGGCGAGAAACAAAGAATGCACTTGAGAGACGGATTTTTAGCTGACCAGCTGGATCCTATTTATGTTGCCTACAACATGTGAAAACAGAAAATCACATCAAGGCTAAAGCACCAAAATCAAGGGACTTTCCAAATAATAACATCGGAATCCATTTTCTGTGTTTTTAAAAGCTGTTGAAGACCATGGGAAAATGAAGATACTAATCTTCCCAGACCTTCATCTCTCAGATTGCATTTGCTTTCATAGATCTATTCTAACAGTTACAGCTGTCTTAGGATGGCGAGTTTACTGGAATTCCTGAAGGAAATTTATTAGAACTATCATGGACCAATGTTTTTTTCCAATAATTATGAATGTCAGTACTTGATGCACTGCATAAAAGGACATAAAGCAGGGTGGGGAGAGAACACCAGCTGTGAGGAGGACTCTTGGAAATAATACTGAAAGTTGTGAGTAACCATTCAGAGTTCACCCTCCATGTGATTGTTTGCAATATATTGGCAGTATCTGGGTTGGGATGTAACTTTCAAGATTGCACACATCTCTTCCATATTCTCTACTGTACTGAAAGGAATTTTGCACATATTTGAGATTTAAAAATGCAGCCTTTTTATTTTAAATCACTGACTCATCCCTATTCAGAAGAGACAAATTCATTCCAATCCCGGATTCAATGTAACAATTATGCTGCTGTTCGGCTTTTGTGTACCAAGCAAGAACAAATACTGCAACTGTAACAAGGTTACTTATCATGCTGTGCTGGACTCTGTAATGCTATAAACTTTATAATAAAATATAAATTAATATCCAGTTTTAACTACTTGATGCAGGAGCCTTCACTGCTCTTGCTATTTTAACTTCATGTTAAAGTTGCTTGTTTTCATAGCATTAGCTGTTAATTACTGTCCTGCATAACGCCAAGTATTTGAAAAATCATTCCAAAGCCAAGTCTCTGAATTATTTGTAGAAATGTTTACAAAGCATGGTCTTACAATATATTTTCCCTAAATATCCTGTGCTAAAACTTATGATAGTGATTTTTTTTTTTCCCCACCATGGAAAAGATATTCAGTGTTAGCTTGATCTGCTGTGGTACAAACTTAAGTTTTTTTTTTGAGTTGTATTTAGACAGACTTTTTTGTTCAAGCTGAAATATCCAGTTTGTTGAGTCACACCTGACTAATTAAGGTTTTGAAGTTTCTGCCTGATCTAATACTGCAGTGAACCTAATTCAGAAAGAGAATGTGAAATCATTCAAATACTTCATGTATTTGAAGGTAAGCACGAGACTAGCAAATAATTATTTTTATAGAGTTAAAGACTTTGAGCTACATAAAATTTTTTTAATAATGCATGAGTTTGGCAAAAGAGCCGGGTTTTTCTGCAAGGCAGTTCTGCCTGGATCAGTGCCTAAGAAAGATGGATATCAGTCTCCTGATATGAGGATATCAAATTGACTCTTGGTCAAATAAACTATAAAATATTCAACAAAAAGCTTTCACATATAGTAGTTCTTTGCCCTCATGGTGTTTTACTGTGGTGTATTATACAGCTGCATACTCTACTATGACTGTAATTATGTACAGAACTTGTGTAACTTATTAAGTACAGCAACCTCTAGCAGTGGGACACTCCTCGTAACAGAAAGCTGGCAAAAGGAAAGAACTACCTAACCCCAATTTTAATGTTGTAGGTTTTTAGCAAATAAAGCATTGTAAGATTTTTGTATTGAAATATTGATGACAGTGAGACAAGTTGCCTTGTAAAGTAAATCTAAAACAAAAAGCACATTAAACATTTCAAAACAGCTCTTGAAAATCTGACTTGCTGAATGTTGAAACATGCTGTTACATCAAAAATGAGCTTATGTGTAGTACACAGTTTTCACCTGTTTTGGACAGTTTAATGCCTGAAGAGCTTTTTCTGCAAAATTTCATGACAGTTGCTTTACAGTCAAAGCACTTGCACACCCTCAAAGTCTGGATGCTCCTGAATTTCATGTTTTCAATACCCAAATTGAAGTGCTCTCTGAGGTCTGGCTTACTTCCTTGCCCTGACCTGAGTATGGGTCCTTCCCACCCATAACTGGCACCTGCCACAGACCAAGTTTTCTAAACTTAGGGGTGAGCACAGCTGGAGGTGCGGGGGGGTGTGTGTGTAACACCCCTCCCTGCAGCATGCTGCTGCTTATTTCACACAGCAAAGCCAGTGGTGAGTTTTGACATAAAGTCCTGCTGGATCAGTGCAGGGGGGAGACAGGGGGAAGGGGAGCCAGCCGTGCCGCCGGTACACGGGGGCTCCCCAGAGCTGCTGTAAGTCCTCCCTTGGGGGAGAGGCGCCGGGCGGCTGTCAGGCTGCAAGCCGCGCGGGGCTGAACATTCTGTCCCCCCCGCCCCCAGCGA